TACAAGAAAATGATCATTTTTAATTCTTTTATTAATACATACTTTCTTGTTAGACTATTTCCAATAAATATTTTGTTATTAGTTTATTTGTAAGTAACAAATTATCATTAATAAGTATTCTGTTGGAACAGTAGAAATTTCATAAAAGTGATTTAGAAGAGATCGAATAGGTCATTGAGCGCATACTAATTAGCAATAGAGTAAAAACACAGAAAGAAATCCAAAGAATTCGATAGATAATTTAAATTTATTATTTAGCAGATAATTGATATACGAGAAATCCAAATTAAATTCTTACCTGATGATTTTTCAAAAATTTTATCATTTAAGATATTGTTACGGTAAATGTGTCTACCAACAGTTGTTTGCTGCATTTTGATATCTAAAATCACCTTCGAAAAGAGCACACGCTTACCACATATTGTATACAGATAGAAAATCGCAATAAGCTACTTATAACATGCAGTAATATTCCATTTATATAAACTCCATTTATATAAACTCCGTTTCGGCCAAATTTAAATTGATTGAATTATTCAATGAATTCTCGATTGATCGGATCCGTTTATTTGAATCTAAAGTTCTATCGAATAAACAAAACACTAGTGCAGGGGGAAATCGGTATAAACTCGTATTATAGTTAGATGAAACCTCGATCATAATTATCATTATATAATTACGTAAATTACAATTGAACGAATCCCGCCGACAAATTTATATGAACGATGCTCTACTGTACACCAATTCGATAAATGGTAAACACAAAATGCTTCGAAAACTTGGTTCCTCATTTTCTTCACGGTCGACGATCCTTCGTTCTCTCCTGTCGACTAGGTATTTACGGAAATCGAGAAAATTAATAAATTTCCCATTATTTTCATCAGAATGTTAACGCTGATAATTTTCCACGATAACGCCGAGCCTTCGTGCGCGTATCTCTGCCTCTCTATCGAATTTCCCGGTAGCTGCATAATAGATAGGAACGCGTGGAATAACGCGCGTTCTTCCGCGTCATCGCGTTCAACGTCGAACCATCGGTGAAACGATGGTTGGCTCATTAACGTGTATCGACGAGTCCAGGTTTGCCCTGTCGATCGGTTGATTCGTTTAGTAATGGCAGGTGGGACGGCTAATAAATATCGCACGAGAATTATTCGTGTCCGTGGGGAGTAATGCTCCTCCGAACAACTTGTAACTTAACGTTCGATATCGAATCAGGAAACGGTTGATACCGAGTGTTTCGAGAAATTGAGCATTCCTTGGGAATTTTATAGATACATTGTTGAGGGAGATTTTGCCGAATTTTTCCATCGATAAATATTACAATTAATAAAATATAATATAATATTAATATTTAATTAAAAATATAATATAATATAATATAATATTATATTATGTTATATTATATTAATTAAAATATAATATTAATGTAAAACTGTGATCGTGATGCAAACTGTGGTATTGATTCTTGGTTTGATGTTTGAATACTAATTACAATTAACTCTAATGAGTATTTATTTTATTAAATTGTATCTTCCATAAATCAATTATTTTGTTCAATCTGTTAGCAAATGATGATAACTGTGCCTATGTGAATAATAGTAGTTTTTAAATTAATCAATTAACGAACGACAATATAAATCAATCAGCTTTCAATTTAAAGAAATTCGATTGACAAAAGATTTTACTACTTTATTTGATTCGACACGACGTGAAAGGTTACAATAACCAGTTGTAAGAAGATTGAAAGGAAAATTATAAAATTGAGGATTAAAGAGATTGTAGAACAATGTATTTCCCACGTAATCCTCAAACTCGTTTACTCGAGGTCGCTTAAAAATGTCCAAGAGGATTTTCTATAAAATCCTTGATGTTGTAGATTGAAGATACATCATCTTCTCGATTCCATCGCTTCGGCGATTATTACTTTATCGTTAATTAATGCGGTTCCTTGAGCGTGACGACGATATTGAACGACTTGCATAAGTATCTCGGCAGCATAGCGAATTTGCGATAACGGTGTTGGAACTTTAGTAGCAAATTAATTAAGATCGAGGAGTACAGAAACACATTTTTATTTTTTATATTATCATCAGCATATTACATTCTGAAAAATTCTTAAACTTATTAATTTCAAGATTGAATAAAATTCGGTCGTATCTAAATGAATAAAATTCTTCGTACAGAAAGGACATTGCACATTAATTTAATTCTTCATTTCAGTAAAATTACCCATTTACCGGAAGCATCTGACAGTCACTGTAGATGTAACGATTGTAAAGCAATTTACAATACAAAGCAAGAAATTTGCAATTCTTGCGATTGAGTCACGAATTTTCCAGAAAATATTCTCAGCTCGTTGCTCTGCTTGAAGAAATTTGCTATCGAAATTTGACAAAAATCAAGAGTCCGTTCTCAGTTGTGTTCAGAAGTTTAGCGTGTTTGCCGAGAATTGCTCACGAATCACGTTGATACCGTTAACATCGTTATTTGCCGTAATCAAACACATAGCGCGCGTCTGTTTACACGGAAAATTAAAGCCGACCGTGCAACGAAGGGAATCCCGGTTGATTCGCGTCCAGGAGGACGCGAAAATAAGCTGAACAGGAAATTGATTTGAACCTGGGTATGCTTTGAATCCTTTGTGGTTAGGCGCGCCTGTCGGGTAAACAACGGGTTCGGAATTTGTTTTGTGGAAAAATAACTGACAGTCTCGGTAGCGCGACGATATTTCTCCCTCCCCTGTGAAATAAAATTACGAAAAATTCCGCGGCAAGAATGTGAAATTCCCCGCGCATTGAATGAATACAATACAGAATGAATACAATGTGATTAATGTACCTTCAGGGCACCGGGCACGAACGCGAAAATATTCTGGTTGAAATATATAATTAGATCTCCGATTGGGATTGCTTTGTTGCTCGTTGCAATTTCCCCCGTACTTGGAACGTTCAATCGCGTGCAAATTGATCGTCACAAGACCCGATTATTGTTGCAATATTTTTATCATTATCATTTCCAATATTTGAGTACACGATGTAGGAACGTATGCATTTCTCGATTAGTCTTCACGGTGATAATTGTCACACAATTTCGTTCATTCAGATTTTATTATTATTTATGTGTACTTTTTTATATTTTAAATTTCAAAAAAAAAAACATATTTAAATTTATATATTAAATTTATATATTAAAATTTATTGCTAGAATTTTTGTGTATATTTAGATACAAACGATGATTTTTTTTTTTAGATTCATGATGTAGATCTAACCTAAACCTAATCTAAACCTGCATCATTTACTGTTATACATAAAAACTATTCGTACATCTTTATACGCAATAGATTTATACATAAAAGAAACAACAATTTAAGTATGTTCTTCCTAAATATTTATGCTAGTCTGAACTTTCTCGAGCAACGATCATTATTATTTCATTATTTTTTTCATAAGTTCATTCATTTAGATTTTATTGTTGCGTTTACAGCTTAATTGCGAAGCAATCGGTAGTGAACAGAGTTCTCGGGGAGTAGTTGGATTCAGGAATTAAAGGGACTACGTGCAAGCGACAAAAACGCGTTTTTAATTTCATCAAAGAGCGACGGATGAATGTGAAACGCGTTCGCACGTTGGCGCCGCGGCGCTAATGTCGGCGCTTCCGCGTCTCTTTTCAACAATTCTGATGGAAGTCTGAACTATTTTCATAACAGCGCGGAGACGTGCAGGCTCGTTTATAAAGCTCGCCGCTTCCAACGTGAAAAATAACGCGCGACCGAAATTAACATGTACTTCTAAATCAACTAAAATCTGTCCTACATCCTTCGCTTTTTAATACATTACATGTCGGAATTATTTCATATTATTATTTGATATCGGAATTGGTCCTTTCAATCTGCTGTCTCGGTTGCTTCTTTTTCAAGTACAATGTCTATTGTTGTTTCTTAATTTTTCTTAATAGTCTTTTCTTCGTGTATTTCATTTTTTTCATTTTTTTTTTTTTTTTTAATGATACGAAATCGAAATTAATTCTTATAAATCAACTGAAACGATGTTATTTTTCTTTCAATAAAATAGCTGTTATCATTTTTTTTTTTTTTTTTCATAAAAAGAGCATATGAGCTAGTTCGTATCCAATTTATATTGTTTTCTTTTGATAAATCTCGTGTTTCTTAAAAATTACGAGTGATTAAAATTAGCTAACTTTTAAATATTCTTTTAACATAAGATAATTGAAGATTATCTCACCTTCCCTTCTTTCAATAAAATATTATTCTCCACGAAAGTAACACCTGAGAAAAATTAATTTTAAATTAATTGCCATCTTTTTTTCTTGATAAAATATCTACTATTTTTTGTTTCAACATCGACTAAAGCATTATATCATGCAACTTGTATCAGAGATTCAAGTGAATCATTTGAAAGCTATAAACTGTTTGACCATTTTCACAATTTCATTTTTCAGTCAAATTACATTAATCAATTCTACTTTTTTATTATTTCTTAAATATATCCCTCGTCATTTCTTCTCTCTGCTTACGTTTCTGTAATTTCACGAAATTTAAAGAAATTGAAATATCTATTATTTTGACCATCCGCATTATTACCTATTCCTTAATCAGTTAAAATCCCTTTCGTTTCTTCGCTCCTATTAAAATATCTATTACATCGTCTTTGAAGACGTCTTCTTGGAAATGCAAAATTAAAGAATTCGCGTAGAAATTCCGTTAAGGAACGACTCGTTTAACCAGGCTGCTGAAACTCGTTCAAGTATCCGCGAAAGCTCGCGACGACGCACGTTTAATAATTTTCAAAAGCGACCCCTCTTTCTTTTTGGTGCCTGGTGGAAGTGATTTTATCCAGCTGCATAACTTAGACGATCTCATAATTTAGACGGCCGTCCGGCTTGTGAGAACATTTAACGCGGTTGGAAAGAAGCGTCGCGACGCTGCTTTCTGGTAGAACCGACACTGAGAAAAAGCTGTGCGTTTTCTTTTTTTCAGGCGGAGCCAGCTCTCATGTACGACAGCGTACAGGTGTTTGCCGTGGGATTGAGGACCCTGGAACAGTCGCACGCGCTCAGGCCTGCCAACATCTCCTGCGAAATGGAACACCCATGGGACGGAGGGTTGTCTCTCATCAACTATATCAACTCGGTAAGTTTTTCACGTTTCGTTCTTCGTTTCTTTTCTTTTCTTTTCTTCTTTTTTTTATGGCTTTCCTTTTACGCGTTCAAATTTTATCAAAACTATTTCGACCATCGTGGAATTATTAAACCTCCGATAGTGGATGTAAAATAGTCTTGCAGAAATATGGATTGTGTGTTATAATGGACGTAAAATATTCAAGACGGAATAGGGGTTAAAATTTTTAATAAGATGAAAAAGTGGGAAAGCGTTGTTGAATATTAGATCTCCTGTGATGAGCATAAAATAATAAAGCTAGAATTTTAAAGCTGGTTAAGATTTTTGGCAGGGAAAATGATGAAGCAAAAAAAAAAGAAAGAGGGAGGAAAAGGAAAGATACACGATGGTATGATTTTTCTCATATGCATTCCAATTTGATTTATAAGACTGTCGAATTTTTATGGAATATTAAATTATTAAACGGATGTGTTTTGTATAATTTTGTGGAATTATTAGATATTAGGAAAAGAAAAAAACAAAAGATACTACGCATAATTTTTCTCGTCTACGTTCAGTTTCTCCTAAATTTGTGGGTTTCTTGTAGAAAACAAAAATGTTCTGTAATGCAATGAATATAAAATATTCCAAATAGGAAACAAACGTAATTTTTCTCGAACGCATTGACTGTGAAATTTTCATAGAAAATCTTTAGAAAATTAAATTTCTCGTCTTGTCGAGAGCATAAAGTGTAGCTTAAGCTCAATTGCTGCCTCAAATATATTAAATCACAGTCGTACGTGATACAGTGTCTATAAATTTTCATTTGCTATTCGAATAATAGGTTTCTAAAAAAAGAAAGAAAGAAAAAATAATTCTAACGACGAATCGAATAATCTCGCGTCTCGTCGTGTCGTCTACGTCCTCGACTGAAGACGTTTCGCCTGAATGGCCAGAAGATTAACGTGCCGGAGCCACGCTAGGTATTTCGTATATCTTGAACAAGCATTTGGACACGAAACGTTCCTGAAAACGGAATTTAATGTTTCGTCGCATTAGCGTTATTCGTAAAATATCTGGTTGAATGCCATGGGAGAGTACCATGAACATAAATACGAGGATCGTTCAGAAAGTAATACTCATTTACAAAAACAACGACAATAACTATAAATGTGTTCTCGTTACTTTCTTTCTTTATTTCTAACTTTACTGTGCAATGCTTATTTGCCGCCTTAATATTATAATACAATACGATACATATGTAATATATAATGTGCGATATATAACGTACGTTTATGTGATATAATATACGTATACATATATCTATTAATGTATTGTAACTTTGTTGCAATAATATTTACGAATGCAAATTACTGATGGAAACTATAGATCAAATAAAAAACGAATGATTTGAAGCAAAGCGTCATAATCTGATGAATGAACATGTAAACGCGCATTTTCTTAAGTAGAATAATATAATTGTTAATTCATTGATCGATGCGAATAAGATTTCCCATCACTTTGGTAACAGTATTATTTACAATTTTTTAAAACAATATTGTTGACGTAAAATGCTAAGAAAAAGTGCAGAAAATTCGAATCATAATACACACATACATTTATAATATCAGTATAATTTATTACTTTATATTTATTAATTTATTATTTATCATATTTATTAATTTAAATGTAATTTATTCATTTAAATTAATAAATATCAGCGTCCGTGATAAATAAATTTATATTTATAATTAAGCAGCAGAATTATACGAAATTTAAAGCTGCATAATACGTAAATTCAAAACAGAACGCTATCTGGTCTCCGATAAGACAAAAGAAGCCTCTTTTTTAAATCTATTTCTTTCAGCTGCATTCGTAAAAATATAAATTTACATGAAAATCCGTAGTCTAGTGATAATTTAGCGTAACTTTTATTTCAATGTATATTGTCTGCACATTATACGTATATTATAAATATATAAATAAATAAATATATATATATATATTTTTTATGTCACACACATTAATTAATTATAATTATAATTATAATTAACCTTAATTAATTAATTATAATTATAATTAACCTTCTATAAAGCACATTGCTTTGCTTACGGCTATTTATTTTCTTTTATCTCGTTTTCCGTACGATATAAAATGAAAATCGTTCGTGAAGAAACGGGCGTTCCTTTTTTTGTAACATTTCTCCGACTCGGTTTCAACAAACAGCAACGTTTATTACACGCACGAAGAAAGTTTGACCGACAATTTACGATGAATTACGGATGCAAAGGGACTGGACCGCTGCCAGGAACAACCGTATCCCGGATAATTGCGAAGGCTTTCGCGCAACGCGGACGACGGATTTACAAACTCGTGGAGAGATTGAGGGTTGAACGTTTTCCAGTTAACGTGGGACGATTAAACCCGTGTTATTATAGTAATACAATAATAATAATTTAATTTTATTATATAATAATTCAGCCAGGTCGTTTCGTTCAGCGGCGATTTATGAAATTTCGATTCCGTTTTAATGAAACTTTTTTCAAAGTTGTCGCCGAATTTTCGATAACGAGCGCGGAATTGTTAAAATCGCGGACAGTGCTGGGGACACGCGTGAAACGCTACATTTTCGAAGATTGAAACGCGAACGAAATTTTTTGACATTTGGAGTTGCGTATATCTTTTCTGAGAGTTGTTAAACAAATTTAGTTGGGAAACAAGAGAGTTTGTGCTAATTGTTAGACTACAAATTTATATTTTTGCGAGTATAGTTGGAAAAGTAGAGTCTGTGTGGAACATTATTTAATATTACATACTATTAATATTTTATATGTATTTGTTTCATACGTGCATCCTGTACAATTTTGCATTAATGATAACATTTGTGATTACTGTAATTACAATTTTAAGTTACTTGTTTCTGTCAGATATATCAATTAAAGATCAAATAATAATTTATCATTTCTCAAAAATATCTATCAAAAATTATAACAGTTTTGTAATATTTAAATTTCTTCAAATTTAAATTTATTGAAAAGTACCTAAATCCTTAAAATCTTCCTTTTGTTACAAAAAAAAAATAAAATTTCACAGTGTAAATTAATTGAAGAACATTGCCAAAATATTCTGTCAACGCGATCTTCCTAAATGGATTATAAAATCATATACCACGGTCTAATACTAATTTAATTTAATCATCATAATAACATCGGACATTTTATTTCTTTAATCTTTCATTATTCTTAACTCGTTTTCATTTATCTGAGGAAGATTTTAAAATTTTTACTATTAAGGAAATTCTTCCTACAATTTCTCGCCTAATTGTTAGCAATTAATCTCCTAATTAATATAATAATAGGTGAACTATCGTGTAAATGTCAACTTTCTCTGACGATTGATTGTATCAAGCCTCATTTCGCGTAAAACAAGAATTACACCGCGAATATCGACACCCCGACGCGATTGACGCCGATGATTTACGATCATAGGCAGCCTCGGCTGTGGCTTTTCGACATTTCCACATGTGTCCTGCACATTCGCCAATATTCGGCCGCTTTGTGTTCGCCTATCGACACGTTGTCGAAAAACTATTCTCCGTAAATTTCAATAAACAACGTATTCAACGAACAACAGACACGGATAAATTATTGATACGCTATGACAAACAGTTTTGCCACACTCATCGATCGTTTCTGGCTTATTGAAGTACTAACAACAATGCGCGTGTGTTCCTCGAAACGACGAAACGACGCTCGTTTGTTAATGTCGAACAATACTGACAACTATTACGCACTGGTTCGATCGCGTTACGCGTTTTTGTACAATGTCGTTGCACGAAATGCATTTACGCTTCACGTAATATCGCGAGTAATTTAATAACGAATTACGAGGCTTTTCATCGTGCACCACCTTGGCGATAATTCTCATTGGTGAGAAAGCCAGGTTCGTTTGCAATCTAGACGCATTCAAGAGCCACCGGGCAGCACTCACCGCTATTAATTTAATAGGGAAGTGGCTAAATTCCGATATCGACGGTCCCATAACAATCTGCCATACTCGCGCGGAGAATATGTACATACATACGTACAAAATACGGTGGGCAAAAGTATGTTTCAACGAAAAATTATCGATAAACTTCACGAGTTTTAAACTGTCTAAACTACAACCATCCGGTCAATCTCATTTTAAAATTAAAAAAATTTCTACTTTACTTTTCTCTACATAAATGTTCGAAAGCAAGGATACCTCTGTCGAAAACTGTATAAATTTAAGTGCTTTCGGAATCATTGAAAAAATTCTTTTCATGATAGAAATATAGCTGGATTAAAATTTACATAGAAATATAACGCGATTAAAATTTCTTAGAAGTGCATTGAATTGATTTTGTCTCAATATCGGTCGAGATTAATTCGATGTTTCAGTGAGACAGTTGATTAAAATTTCATAGAAATGTATTAATGGCTCGATTGTTACAAATGATTAATTGAAATAGAAAAGAATTTATTGTTACAAATAAATTACTAGAAATAATAGGTAATGTTCAGGCAATTAGAATATTCAGAAATATTATTTAAAAATTCAGTTTTAAAAGATGACTTAATTGTTAATGAGTTTCTCGGTATCGATGAAAGATCAATTTGATCTTTTCGTCGTTAATAATGCGAAACACATGATGACCCTTGTTAATATTTCGATACACGGTTTCTCTGTTACAGTAATTAATAATCTGATAATTTTTAGATTTTTGTTGGTTCAGATTGTTATATAAATATTGCAATTTCTATATTTTTCTGCAAACGTACAGTTAGTTTCAAACTTATAACTCCATTGACATATACTAAATGCTAATTTATAAGTCTTTGACACATGACGCTGGTTTGTATAAAAAATATTTAGTCAAAAATTAAGTTGATCGTCTCTTAAGAACAGTTGAGCAAGTAATGACAGCGTTCACGTTTAATTCAATAAATAATTTTCGGCGCAACAACATTATTCATATTTTCTGATTTTAATTCCTGCTACTATTGGCGCTG